GGCCACGCCCCGCTTGCGTGGCGGCGTCTTTCTGCTACTGACGTTTACGCAAGAAAAGCAAGCACGTGCCATTCACAAGGCAGTGTCTCCAAGTCCCACAAGTGGGCAGGGCGGATCTTGTCGGGCTGCAGGGCGGCTTCCACACTTCCCAGCGCACCTGGGCTTCCCTACAGGAGACTTAAACACTGGAAGGCCACAAGCCTTAAGGGTTGACTAGGTAACTTGCAATTCAGTGATTTGCAGCTTAAAAAAAAGAAAATTATAAATAATAGTCTTTCCTAAAAAAACAAGTGCTGCCCTAAGTCTTCCAACAAAATTACACTGCTAACTACAGACTATTAAAGTCACGGGAGAAATCTTAGTCATATACTGAGCAACTGCTGCTCCCTCCTGCAAGCACTATAGCAAACTGTGTTGAAAACATGAAATACTTCTTTGGGAATTTTTGGGAGACAGCACAATTGCGTTTAAATTAGTGCTTCCCAGAATGATTAAAAACAAAACAAAACAAAACCTTTCTTTAACAACCTCTCCACACTTCAAAACCATAATCACTCAAATAATTCACAGTAACCACTTGGCACCCAAACCCAGCCGGCTGGAGAGGAATGATTTCCGGCAACCTATGACAATGGCAGTTGTGATAAAGACTATAAGGGCTGATTTTGTTTTCTTTGCTCTTATAATTCCCATATTTATACTATTAGTCAAAATGTAGCAGCTTAATTCTCTCATTATTTTTAATCTAACTAGAAAATCGATTGTCCCTGGTTGGTGGTGGATATGGGTAATTTTTTCTAAAGCGTTAACAATAAGGAACTGGGAGAGAGTAGCTCAACTAGCGTTCTTTCATTAATTTAACAACTTTCTTCATTAATTGACCTAACCAACATTCATTTAACATCTACCATCTACAAAGGACACAGAAAAGCAGTAATAAGCAATTAGGTCTCTTGAAGAATTTACACTTTAGCAGTAGCTTTAGCAAAATTACTTGCTTTGACTTTGAAAGCAAGACAATACAGAGTTCCTCAGATCTTAATCATGTGCCATAAACTGGGTGTAAAGAGCCCAGAGTTAGCTCAGCCATCAAGGACACCCAGCTGACATCGTCTTCCTCCTGTCGCGCTCCCCTTCCCACCCCACCCCACCTCCAGAACTTCTGCCCTTCAGTTAGAAAGCACACAGGTCACTCAGTATCCGATGCTAGCCATAAACCAAAGCTTATGTCCATCAGCAAGTTTTTGTGTGGTGGTAAATCTTTTACATTCAACTAGACAAAATTATTGTATCTCAGGATAACGTTCAATCCAAGGGCAGAAAATGAGCAGAATTCTACTGAGTTTGTACAACCACTCACCCAGTCTCTGAGGCCTGCCCACCTTCGCCCGCTATTCTTCTCAGAGGCAATGAATCCATCCCACCTTTTTCTCCTATGTTGAATGTAGGGCGTGTTTTTTACGCACCACACCATTTGGCCATGATCTATAGGCCACCATAAACGCCAACTGGTGTGCTCAAAGGCTGTCCGTGGTGGGCAAAATAAGAGGTGAGGGAAAGAGTAGACCCCCAAAATAACAGCTGATCCACTGTGAGGGCGTGGGAGTAGGAGGCAAGGAATCATGGACAGGGAGATTTCCTCAGGATTGGTGAGGGGCGGGGGGGGGGGGGCAGAGTCAAGCCCACTATAGTAAAACTGTAATCTATTCAGGAACGAGACAGAGCCCTTAACTCTTCCCCAAACAGAACTTCTAATGTGCCCAAGAGCACACTGAATTTCCAAGTTCTACCTGGCCCTGCACTGTTGTTCAATGGGGTCAACCTGGTGGGTGGCCAACCCTACTCCCAAGGCATTCATGAACCCGACCCTACATGTGGGTAACTCAGGGATCTAAGAATCACAAAAAGTTAACAGGAACCTTTGAAGACCAATAAAGACTGGTTAATCAGCCTGAAAAATCAACACTTAGGCAAAGAGGCTCTACTCTACCCAAAAACCCCTGAGCATGTCCAGGTGTTCCAGCGGTCTAAAGGAATGACACAGGACACAGGCTCTAGAGTCAAACTGTCTGACTTCAAATCTTGGCCACTTTTAACAGCAATGGCAATGTCTCTGTGACTCCATTTCCTCATCTGTAACTGGAAGATAATAATAGCACTACCTCATAGGACTAACAGGAGAACAGAATGAGATCACGATTAAGAAGCTTAGCCCAGTGACCGCCACACAGTAAACACAGAATAAATAGGTGCCAGTACATCCACTATGTCCAGGGGCAACCTGAACTACCAATCAGTTCCTGCAGCGGAATGACACCACCACCGCTAGTACTATTTGGCTGGGCCGTCATTATGGACCCCTAACCATCCCTATGAAGTGCGTGGTATTATCTTCATCTCAGAGTTGAAAACGAAGGTTTAGAGGGACTCACAAACTCAGCTAAGCTTACTCAGTTAATAAGTGGTGAGGCAATAAAAGCTTTAATCATGTCCCAGCAAAGTTTGCACTAGGTCATCTACCTCCAAAAGCTTACAAGTATTTTAATACTTCAGTATTCTAAAACCACTGCTTATTGAACAAGATTATGTTCTTGTAAAAGCCTCCAGCCTTCCACTCCCCCCACCACTAAATCTGCGTGTATATCTATACAATCAGAAATACTTCACCAATTCTGATAGACTGTCAGAATTTTTCTTAACATGAATACAACTGGGTAAGTCATCGTGACCATTTTAATTAATTGACTTTAAAAGTTCAAAGGTACTGCATACCCACAGTTTATCAAGACACTTTTCTTCCAGGATTTGTAATTTGATCCTGTAGAAGAATAGGCACACTCCAATTGGCCTGTGTAACATCTCTTTTTCCATATGTTTGGTAAGTGTCTAACAAAACTGACTAGAGTTCATAGTTGTTCCAAATATCCTCTCACACAATTTAGCAAGACTTACAGTCACTTCAATTCCCTAAAAGAAAACAGAATCAAACTTAAAACTAAGTATGTCAGCAATGACCCTGATCTCACAGAATTTTTTAGAACTCATAGTGAGATCCAGAAATGTTTATAACCAAATTTCTATTTCCAAATACTTAAAGATCTAACTGCTTCAAAGAAAACTGGAATAATAACAAGTCATCTTAGTCAAAACTGTTTATCCACATCAAATGAATTGGTTACCCAGTTTCCTGAAAACAGAGTTCATAATAATTGTTAATCCATTAACAGTTTAAAATAAAAGGCATGCTTAACTTGTTTAAGAAGTAATGATATGGGTAAGCCAAGTCATATCTTACCTCACTTTCTATTTGCTTTACGCAGGCATTACATGTTCTTTATAATCTTTGTTGGTAAATATAAATGAGATGATATAATTGAACATGCAAAATGAAGGGAATCTGAAATGCCTAAAAATTTCAAGAATTCACTGCAATTTCAAGAACCTGAAACTCCAAGTATGAGAAAGCAGAATTACCACATAACTGTAAAAGTCAAATATTTATACAGGTGCCTTAGAAGTCACTGCTGGGTGCACACCATCATCACCGACATTAAAGTGCAAGGGCATAAGTCAAGTAACTGACCTGGAGCGTGAAGTTTATGACAACAACTAGTATGTCTGGAGAAACTGTGAAGGTGTGACGCTTGTCATAACTTTCATCAGGCCAGCAACAGGCAGCCAGGCTGTGGCAAGAGAGAACCTCAGCACAGGTGCCTTTTCTCATTTCAGAAGGGAAACCTAAACTGATACCTTCATGGATAATTTAATAAGGATTGTTCCATAAATTTATAATGCCATTTATGACTTTCTTATAATTACTCTTTACTAGCTTTCAAAAAACAGTATTCTTAAGATAAAAGTTAACTAAGAACATAAAGTACAAAACTATTTCAACTTCAAATTAAGAAAAGGGGTAATAGAAACACCTAAAAGGTTATAAACCCCTAATTTACAATTAGGAACGCCTCCTTAATGGCCAATTTACAAATTTACCATTAGGAATATCTCCTATTATTCTTCTAATAGGTCCAACTTTCAGAAATTTTCCTTTTAAGGGTAACAAGACAGATGGGATAGAGTTCCAACATTTGTGAACATTAGGCAAAATTTCAGCTCCTCAACTCCTTGGACGATGATTTGGTTATGCTGCTCCACTTTACCTCCAAGCAGGACTAAAAAGTGTGTGTTGAAAACTACAAGACATCATGCTAAGTTCAAGTCCGTTTCGATGTTCACTGCACTTTTCTTCAAAACAGAATTTGCCTTCTCAAGATCTAAGACTCAGTTCGTTTTCAGGTGAAGCAGTAAACCAAACCCTACCCCCCCCCAAAAAGCGTTTCTAAACTCTGAGGGGCAAAGCTAGTAACACCCACAGCCAAGGCCCGGCGAGGAAGGGTGCCTGGAACCCCCCTCCATGCCCAGGACCTCCCGCCTGACCGACCAGTGGCCCGTCAAGAACTTGCAGTCAAGGCTGGCCGCCAAGGACGGCCAGAGAGATGCCACAGGTGGCTTGGTCGGCTGGTTCCCCACCTTGCACTTAGGCCTTCTCCCGGAGGCTCCCGGCCCGTCCCCGCCTCCCAAAGGCCGAAGCTACCCTCCAGCTCCAATTTGGCCCACTTTAGGCAGAGGCGAGCTCGCGGCAGGGCTCAGGTGGCTCCTCGGGGTCCGTTAACAGGACACGAAGTGCCAGCCCGGGGCGCCAAATTCCACCCTTCACTCCCGGCCGGGAGTGTCTAAAGGTCCCAGGGGGAGTAGGGAAGGGAGCGGGCAAAGAGGCCCTGGAAGGGGCGGCTCCAACCGAGCCCCTCCGGGGCTCCTCACCGGCTGATGGTCCCCAACCTCCTTCCCGAGACCCCTCCCGGCAGTCCCGGGCCGGCGACGCCCCACGCCCCACGCCCCCCGCGCCGCGGGCGCCGCCGATCGGCCGGATCTCCGGGACAACAGCCGCCGCCGCGCTTCTGAGGCGGGTCCCCGCGCCCACCCGCGGCCCGGCCGCCCACCTGTCCCGGGGGTCGATCCAGCTGGTCCTCCTGGTGTTGTGGTCGATGTAGAAGACCTTGCCGTCGTAGTCCCTGGCCTCCTCCCAGCCCCGGGGTAGCGGCAGCTGCCCGCTCCCGGCCCTCCTAGGCATGGTCGGCGGCCTCGCCGGCGAGCGGCGCCTCCATAGGGACCGGGCGCGGGACGCGGCGGGAACGTGACTGCCCGGCTCGGCCGCCGCACCCGACGCGGGCGCCGGCGAGGGGCTGCGGGGCGCGGGGCGCGGCGGGGCCACGCGCGGGGGGCGCCTCAGGAAACCCTGCTCTCGGCCCCGCCGGGGATCAGTCCACCATGTCTGCGTCGGAGTTGGCGAGCGAACCCTCCTCCTCCTCCTCCTCCGCCTCGCGGCTGCAGCCGCTGCCTCCGCCTCTTCCTCCTCCTCCTCCCCGTCCCCCTGTGGCCGCCGAGGGTCGCGGCGCCCAGGCTGCCCGAGCCGCCGCCGTCTGGGCTCGGATCCGGGAAGCTCGGCGGAGCGGCGGCCGGGGCGGCTACGGGCCTCCTCATTTGCGTGCGATTAGCATGCGCCCCGCCCCGGGCCCGCCTCCGTCCGCCCCTCCCCTCGCTGGGCTCATCTGCATGCACATTCCTCGCCGCCACATTCCAGGGCTTAACCCTGCAGCTCCCGGGGCAGACTGCGAGAGCCCGGGCGCAGGGCCGAGCCCGGGGCGGGGGCGGAGGAGGGGAGCTGAGGGACCAGGTGGGCGGGAGGAGGGCGAAGGAATGCACCGTTCGCTCCCTCCCCTTGACCCCAAATATCTCCCAGCGGCCGAACGGCTCGGGTTTTTAGAGTTTCGGGACGGGAAAGAGCTAGAGAGCGCTCCGCAACCTTCTCAACTTCTTGCCGACTTCTAGGGAAACCACAAGACTTTCGAGAGGAAAGGGGTGGGGGAAGCTCTCTTAGGAAGAAAAAGTCCCAGCAAACAGCTAGGGCACAAAGGCTCCCCCACGCCGCGCCCTGGGCTACTTGGGAACCCGAGGGCGGTCCCGAGCGGTGGGAAAGTGTGAAAAGCACTGAAAGCGCTTAGAGTGTCCGTGGCGTGTCCGGGGCGGTGTCGCCTCCGGGGCCTCTGCAGGGCGCCTGGCCCTCCATGACCTCAGCCCAGAGGCCACGGGACTCGCGGCGGAAAGCGAAGGCGGGTCCGGCGGTCCCAGAGCGCCGAGACACGCCTGCCCCAGTGGCCTGCGGGGGAAACTCCAGCCTGACCCTGGGAAGCGACTGTTCACCCCCCCCCCCAACTCCGCCCGCCGCGCGGGCCACGGACTAGAAGGCACTCGAGCCTCCCACCGGTCCGGCCGCTCCACCCGGGGGGCCCAGGCCAGCCACCGGGGACCCTCTGCCGCTGGCCTCCGTTGTAGGGGGTTAGGACAGCTGGACGTGCACTAATCCTGAAACCAGTCCCTTCCGCCCAGCCCCCGCCGCGGGAAGTCCCCCACCCCGAACCCTGCTGTGGCCAAGAAGGTGTGGGCGACCACGCTGGAGGGACCCCACTGCGGCCCGGAGGCCAGGCTTTCCTAGGCCCTGGATCGCGTCTTAAAGGGAATGTGGATCTTCCCTTAGTCCACAAGCATTTCTTTATTCATCCCCTACTGCTTCCTGGTGGGCGCTGAGGAGAGGCCGGACCCTGGGCTCCGGGTAGGACAGTGCCACGAGCAGTAGGACTGGCAGGGCCTGGGCACAGGGCCTTCAGTGCCCCCAGCCCCTCGGGCTGGGAGGGAGCCTCCCAGTCCCAAAGCTCCTCTCCAGCCTGGTCTACACCGTCCCCCGTTCATATTCTTCCGGGTTACTAACAGCTTCTTTTAAAGTAAAATGCCCGCAGAAGGCCCCGGAGCTCAGTCATTCACCTCTTGGTGTGAATTCGCTTTAATCCTGCCCGCCAATGCATGACGACTTCCCCACCTTGTGCAGGACACAGCGTTGGACAGGGGCTTTCAGAAGGTGTGGAACAAAGTCGTCTCTCCTCCTGGATTCACAGACCCGTAAGGGATTCAAGTGCCTTGGGATTCCAGCGCAGCGGGGTTTGGGGTAGCTGCTGCCCCGGGGGATGCGGAGGGTTTGGCTCCCCAGGCCATCGGGGCATCTGCGGCCAATCTCAAAGGTGGAGGAGGGAAGTCCTGAAGAGTAAGAACGGAGGGCCAGGCTTGGAACAGCTTCACAGCAGGGACTGGACTTGCCTTCTTGGGGGAAAGTCTTAGACGTATTTGCACTTGGAGTAGTCTGCTCTGGAGCAGAAACTTCAAACCACCAGAAACTCTGGGGAGTTCCGTCCTCGGGAGGAACAAACCAGAGGGAGCAGGAGATGGGCAAGGGAGTCACCCAATGAATTCACTCCTTTTGTCCCTTCCAGGTCTTCCTCTTTCACACTAAGCTCACCCTTAGCAAAGAGCAGCCCCCACCTCTTGGTCCCTTGTTCTGCCCCACTCCATTCATCAAGACGTGATCACACCAGGCAAGCTTCTCTAGTTCCCAGTGAGATGTGACATGTGACATCCTGCTGGGTAATTTTAAGATTGCACTTCTGAATGCTGTGAAAAAAATGAGACCTGTCTAAAACTAATCTCTCACACTATTAAGGTGAGAAGGTGAAGGTGCTTTGTTTTGGGTGCTCTAAATTGGCTCACTTGCATGGCCAAAATTTGTATTAGAGTAAACTAATAACATCATTCAAGGGCGCCTGGGTGGCTCTGTTGGTTAAGTAGCTACCTTGGGCTCAGGTCATGGTCCCACTGCCATTGTCCCACTGCCCTGGGATCCAGCCCTGCTTGTCCCTCTCCCTCTCCCTCTGCCCCTTCCCCCCCTCGTGCTCTCTCTCTCTCTCTTACTTACTCTCTCTCTTTCAAATAAATAAATAAAATTAAAAAACAAAACAAAACAAAAAAACCCATCGTTTAGCACCCCAACCAAACCATTCTCTTTTCAGCCTTTCTTCCAGGCTCTCCACCCACCTATTAGGAAACATATATTATATGAAAATGTCTGTATCCTACTATTAAAAAAAAAAAAAAACAGTAACTTTGCCGTTGCCACAATTTAATTTGTTTCACTGGGATGAATTACTGCAAAATACTTCTTGGTACAATTTCAAATTTGATAAGCTTTCAGATAAATATTTTTACCCAAACTCCTGAAACCTATGGGGATTCCAAAATAGCACATAGCGGTAAATGGCATTTATTGTTCCATAAATCCTGGGACTTCAAAAAGGGATGCTAAATAGATAAACAAAACTCTAAAGCAGTTAAAAGACAAGCTCACTTCTCTCCCGCTGGTTGGCACAGGAAACATTTGGTCACACAAAAGCAGTTAAGATGACAAGCAAGTCACTGTTCTACAGCTTTTGTGTCTTGATCGGGTTTGAACTCTGCTGTCCTGAGTTCCCGCACTTACTCAGTACCACCTTTCTGGAGAATTCCTAATGGTTAAGACAATGAAATTTTATGTTATTGATATTCACATCCATAAAGATAAAATAGATACAAAGATCATCCCTATTTTATAAATGGATACATTTGGATTTCATTTAGCTCTAGTTGATCGTTGGCAAGGAAAGATGGTGAGGTCTGCTGTCCTGGATGGCTGATTTCCCCAGCCGAAGGAACTCTACGCTAGCCACTGAAGGGTCTGCTCTCTGGACTTCATTTCCCTTTCCTCCTGGCTCTACATTCTCCCTGGTATTAATAGTCTGAGGGGATGAACCGGCATTAAGCAAAACTCCCATTGTCAATGTCCAAATCCTGGGTGGCAGGAAAATTGGTGATACCGAAAACGGAAGTATAGAGGGTGTAAATTATTTCAAAAGATAATTAGTTATATCAACCCAAATTTAAAATATATATGCTTTTAATCCAGCAATCCCAGTGCTGCAATTTTGCCTACAGATCTGAAAGCTCAAGATATGCAAGGATGTTCATTGCAGCATGTTTGATGATAACAAAACTGAAGAAGCCACCAGTGTCCGTGAGTAGGGGACTGATTAAATGAGTTATCGAACACCCATATTCAGCAGACATTTAAAGGGCTGACTCAGGAGGTAAAGCATGGACTCTCAGTCTCAGGGTCGCGAGTTCAAGCCCCACGCATGGGCATGGAGCCTACCTAAAAATAAAGAGCATTAGATAAACATATATGTTCTGATTTAAAAAAAAAAAAAAAAAGGATGTCCTGGACACATTAAGTGAAAAAAGCAAGGTGCAAAAAGATGCTTGCAAACTTTGCGGGAGGTGGGACCAATCATAAAATGTAAAGAACAACACGGTGTCCTATACATTTGCTTAGTGTCAGAGGAAGAACTCTCTGAGTTCTCAGTAAAGTAAGGGAGTTTTTATAGAGAACGGGGGCTGTCTGGGGGGTCCCATCAAAGAAGTACACATGAGGAAAATGATCATTAAAGAAAGGGGATGGCGTAGAGATGAGCACAGACATGACCCCAGAACGGCCCACCAGGGCAGGGCATGCTTGTGCAAAGAAAAGGGTGTGAGAAGCTCAAAGATAAATCTGGCACGAAAGAACCCAAGACTGGCTGGAGCCACGGCGTTAGGAGGCTGGCGTGATGGGATAGGTATAAGAGAGATAAAGGTCTGCATTAGAAATAAGGCGGCGGGGGGGGGGGGATGAAAAGAAATGATCTAGCAAGAATTTGCTGATTAGATTAAGAAGGGCACAGTGAATAGACCAGAAGGAGGAGTCTGGTATGAGTCCAAGATTTTAGGCCGTCAAGAGAGACTCAAGCAGCGAAATAAATGAGGAAGTCCAAAGGGGGATCTGATATGGAGGTTGTTTCCAGAAATTAGAGATACTCAACAAAAAGTGAAAGGTCAGGACTCAAGCTCAAACAAGAGGCCAGGACTGCAAAGGTTTGGTGGGGCGTCAACCATCTGAAAGTCTGTGGAGGGCTGAGAATTCAGGACTGAATATTGGAAAGGAAATCTCAGTACTTGTCAATGAGATTTAAGCCACCCATCTCTAGTCCTATTTTTGGCCTCTAACTCCTCAGTAATTCGATATGATTTAGTTTATCTCTTTGTAAAACGTGGTCTCCATTTTCAGGATGTGTGTAAGAATTAGTTACTAGTGTATAAATCATCTCTGAATGAAGT